AAACAGAACTTGCCTTCAGTTTCAGACTGTGGAACTGCAGACCTCTGTCAACTCCGACAACGATGGTTGTCTAACTCCCTCTGCTGCTCCTAATTCAATCCCCAACCTTCTCCTTGAATTCTTCCTTCAATCCCCAAAGGTTCTCTCTGAAACTCTCTACAACTCTCTGTTTTTCCCTCTCTGAAAACCTGATACGTGAATGCAGGTTGTGTGATGTTTGTTTGCTAAACCCTAAACCCACATGAAGAAATATATTTATAGGCTTAATTCTCCAACCCTAATCCGTATATAGCTAGAGCCCTAATGCAAACCCTTAGTCGGCCCATGCAATTGTCCAAGTTACAATACACGGCGACTTAATACAACCTAGGTCGGCTACAGTAACTCCAACCCTAACTGACATATACGTAAATCAACTTAATTATATAATTTAACGTTTAAATAACTTCCACAAAAATATAATCCTAATCTAAAATAAATTAACATTTAACTTAACCCAATTCAAAATAATCCAATAACAAAAACAATAATATTAATAAAAGAAAACAATTAATTCAAATAAAAGGACAAACAAACAGATAATCAATTATCAAACAAATAATCCAATAAAATGACACATAATAAAATAAAATGCAATTAAATACAATAATTAAATTCCAGAACTGTCCTTTTAAAATTAGTGGTATTACAGTTAAGCCGTGGAATGCGAATGCATGCTAATGCCACTCCCCATTTTCATTCTCAAAACCATCACTTTCCAAATGTTAATACAGCCCGCCCTTTGGTAACCCCGCCGCCACACGAGAGGAGGATTGGCTAGTGTCCCTGACCCTTGGTAACCCCGCGGCATCATTATGGGGCCCAGCTAGCTCAACCACGCTAGGGCGACTCCCTAGTCCCCCCTAGGCTATATTAACCTCCGGCCCGTTAGTAACCCCGCAGCGACCGGGTTTGTATAAAACCATTTCCAAAACATTCATATCCCAAGAATCCCCTTTTTCATTTCAAAACCAATTCCTCCCACTTCATGCAACCCAATGATGCATTTGTATATATATATGCTTCATGGTTCCAAGATTAAGACATTTAAAGAACAACAACAACCACTCAAGCATATATCATGTTCAAAATTTCAAAATGGATTATTATCAAATTAAACACAACAAGGTAGCATCTAGACATATTTTTCACATAATACAAGTCACATTCAATATTATGAAATTCTCTAGACATCACTAATATAATCATTGATACAATTAACTCCTAAATTAAACACATTATCACACAGGGAAGGTATAATTCACAAAAGAATAAGAAAACATGAATTAAGATGCCCCTACCTCAAGTTTGCATCAAAACCCTAACAATTGGTACCTAGATTCGAACTCCAAGGAGAGCACTAAAACTGAAATTGCTTGTATGGATGCGTAGAGCTCGTCGTGCTCGTCGTCTTGCCTCAAACGGTACCCAATTCCGACAAGTAATGAAGGTGAAATCAAGGATCAAAGTTTGTCTCAAAAAGAAAAGAAAAATGGAAGAGAAATTGAGAGAGAATAGGGATTTACGGGGAGAGAGAAAGTGTGAAGCAAAATATTGGTCTCTAGACCACTTTTGAATAGTGGTGGGCCCCGAAATTTCTTTTTATTTACTCTTTTTCTTTAATCTTTCATTTTTTACACCACACAACTCATATAGTGCACCACTACATAAAAATACTACTCAATCCACATAAATTAAAATGCACAATGCAAATGGACCCAACCACAATCCCGAACACAACATGCGAAAAGACAGAAATACCTTTGTCTCCACGAATTATTGAAAAAATGAAAATGCCGAAAAATCAGAAACATCACAAATCTTACACAAATAGAGCGTTTAAGATTTATTACTTTAACTTCTCTTGAGATTTGGGTGTATACTCAACAAACTTTTCCTCTACATCAAAATAATAATAATTAAAAAAAAAGATAAATAAATAAATCATAAAATGACCAAGTTGCCCTTACACTTTTTCTTTTTTTTTTTTATTTATTAATTTATAAGATTTTTTTTTAGGAGAAAGTAAATTGGTAGAGAGAAAAGAGAAAGTAATAATAGAGATGAGATAAAATAAATAATATTTTTAAATTTATAATATATCTTATATAAAAATATAATTAATTTTTTATAGTCTTAAGAAGGTCAGACTAATAAACCTCACACGGTCGTACCCTCCCACTCTCAAAGAAAGTATGCGTAATTTACCCTATTCAAAACATTTTTTTTTTTTTGGTCATTCAAAGACTTAAAGGCCTAAAGCCAAGTTAAAAAAGGTATACAAATCTTGAACCAAAGCAAATAAATGAACAACAGGCTCTATATTTGTGAAGGAAACAGAGCATAACACTCTGTAAATGAAACCACCATGGAGAAAGCAGCAAACTGGAGAGACCGAAAAGTCTGGCCATCAGTACGGTAACCGTTCCAAAATTACAACCACAAGACGCTCCGACACACAAAACTCCGCACAAGATTCAATCAAGGAGAAAATGATCAAATCTAAGCATGGAAAAACCCAAAATCGGTCTAGATCAGATATCTAGCCGGAGAAAAAAAACAGATCTGCCCAGGTAAGTCAAAAATAAAACAAACAAGAGCAGATCTAACCGAACAAAACAAAACAAAAATGGAGTAAAAAAATAGTTACGGAACATACTTATTTAAACCCATATTATAATTGTGGGAGGCATTTAGCAGCTCCCCACTCTCATGGAAGGGAGGGCAGAGAGAAGAAAACGACGGCTGGGATAGAGGGAGAAAGGTAGAGAGAGGTGGGAGCGATTGTCTGTGGGTGGGCAATAGATCGACTATTCAAAACATACAAAAGTAGCAATACTACGTGGTAAAATTTCTTTCCATAAATGCAAAAATTTCGAAGCAAGAAATATGAAGAGATTTGTCGGGAAGTCCACTGCACGTATCTCTATTGCCTGACACGTGTAAAATGTTTCAGCCACTCGTTTGAAAGAAAGTTTTAAAAATATTCTCCAGTATAATATTATACATACATCTCAAAGTATGAATGATTGAGCTGTGCTACTCTACAAGTGGCGGCTGGACATAAAAGTTAAGTCAGGTATCCAATAAAAGTTTCCCAACAGTTCCATCCTAGAAATAAATAAATAAATAAATAAAAGAAAATGATATAAATCTAAGCATCATCTCATATAAATAAATAATGATATATATCTGTATTTGCAACTTTAAATATGATGATGTCGCGATGACGTTATCTCTTATTCATATAAATTTAGTCGAATGTAAATTTGTATCAATATTTTAAATAAATATAATAAATCAAAAAATTTAAGTCAATTTGTAGACTTCTTTTTTGACATTCAATAAAACGAATTTGAAATAGCATGACATATAATTTTTGAAATTATTTTCGAATAAAGTTAAGATGTGGATATCAAAAACCTTGTGGTTTAGTAGCATTTTCTATATCTTTCAAAATGAATGGTGGAGATTTGAATTTTCAAATAAATAAAGTGGGATGTGTGTTTATTACTAATGAAAAAAAAAAATGAAAAAAAAAAAGAAAAAGGAAGTTGTTAAGATATCAATAAGGTAAATCAATAAGAGGCCAAAATAATTAAATTATGCTATGTTTTATATATGTATGTATATTATATATATATATATACACACACACTTTTTATGGAATGGTTTTCTTGAGTCTAGAATATATAATTGCAATAATTTTTATTGTAAATATTAATTAAAAGAAAATTTTGTGGTATTTTGTTCATCTTGTATGGCGCCAACTTGGCGAGCTTTGGTACCCGTGCTGAGCATAATTGGTGATGGAAGTGATTGCAGGGGATGAGAGCCTAAAGTTTGAAGCAGTGGGCCTATTATATTTGTCACATCTTAGGCTGACCAGCCCTGTGAGGCCCACAAAGCTTCTGGCTGAGATTGCACCCTTCCCATCTGTCAGCCCAAACCCGTAACAGGACCACCACCACCTGTAACCACAAAAGCCCCATTGCCTCTTATCATCCCACATGGCACTGGATCCATTCCACTTCAACGGCCCAGATCTACCTTCACCCACACAACTTGCTCGACCTTTAACCAGTACTTTCGCAAACTTCAAAATTACCAAAAATAAAAATGAAAGTATAGCTTACATCCATATTTTGTTCATATACCTCTTTCCTTATATTCATTTATTTATTTTCCATTTATTTTTTATTTTTTTATGTTGCATTTGAAGGGGTCAAATTTGTTATTACATAATAAACCTTCACTTTTTTTGCTCCTTTTATTCAGATGTAAAATATTTTTTTACATATTTTTTATGTTTGTTTGTAATAAATACAAAGAAAAATATATTAAAATCTAACAATACTAACTTACATCAATTTTGGACAATTTATTTTATATGATGAATTTAAATTCAACTTTAATATAGAACTTTGTCAAATGTCAAAAAAATAAAATATTTATGTCGAAACAAACAAGTCTTATTTACGTAACTTTCAATTTTTAATTTTTTTTTTTTAACTAACTTTCTCAATTGTCAATTTCATAATGAATAAATCATTAAAAATTTCTTCTCCCAAAACTAAATATAAAAAGAGATATGGCTTAAAATAAAGAGTTAATTCTATAAGAGATTAAGACAAGAATGATAACGACTACAATTATATGTTATGATTGAATTGACTTTGGATAAAAAAAAATTAAAAAAAATTATTCAAACTTGTAATTCTCCCAATTATAATTTATGTTTTTTTTTTTCAATAAATAAATGAATTGTGATAACACCATAACTATATATAGGTCTCAATTTTTATAAACAAAAGAGTCATAGACCCTAATTAATTCATAAAGTAATGGTTAAAAGAGGTAAGATCTAGAGTATATTTGCAGCGCAGAGTAACTGTACCCTGGTAAAAGAAAGAGTTCGAAAGGTCTTGCTTTGTTTTTTTTTTTACAAAAACACACACACACACACACACACACACACACAACAAACACACACAACCAAACAGCTCGAAATAGAGAGGACCAGAGGCAGAGAATATAGCAGAGAACAGAGAACACAACAATTCGAATTGCCCGTGAATTTTCTCTCCGACTCTTAGGTAGATTCGAATTTTTCAAACCCTACTTTTTCTCATTCCTTCGATTCTGTTTGGTTGCTGAGAGAATTTTTTAGAAATAGAATCAAATCTGAATTTGGAATTTCAAGATTTTGGCTTCGTTGAATCATATCCTCTCTTTTATCAGCAATTGAATTATGGGGCTCGGTAATTTTGTTCAAAAACTCTTCTTTTCTTTTCTTTTTTTGGTTGTGAATTGCCATTTATTTTATCTGTTCTGGAGGTAACTGTGTTCAAGTTGAAGAAGTGTTAATGGAGGAAACTGAACTGAGTGGGAAGTGTTGTGGGTTTTGTTTGTTTATGTTTAATTTGAAGTGCATTAAGTCGTTTGGTTGATCATGGGTTATTTTCTGGGTATATATACGAGTCAATTGAGTTGATTAGATGGGTTTATATGAGCTATTTGGCTTACACTTTTCGGCTACTTGGTTTGTTATTGGTGATCGATGCAAGGAAGATTTCTGTTTGGTTTTTGTTGGTGGTTAATGAATTGTAGGCAAAATGACGAATAGTACTTAGGTTGTATCATATATTTGCTTGATTACCATGCTATTCTGATTCTGCATTAGGTATTCTAGGAGGATAAGAAGACATATTAATATTGTGATAATTCTTGATTTTTTATTTATTTTTATTATTTTTGATTTTTTTTTATTTTTTATTTTATTATTTTTTTTTAACTTTGCGACTTGCCGATTTAATTTGTCTCTGACTGCATCAGTCTTGTGGCAAAGTTTATACTTATGAAGACTGTTAATCTATTTAAGACTTTCAATTTAGATGGTCTTGTTTGCATGTTTCTCTCATTTTTCTCCTGCATGTAACTGTGCAATCTTATGCATATCTGAAGAATTGTTTGCACAATAAACTGCTAAATTTAGATTTTTTGGCTTCTTGTTGAGCTCATAAACTGCTCATAGACCAAAGTACTTTACTTCTTGGAATTCTTTTCTGTTCTTTCTTGGTTCTACAATTGTTATCTTCCCTCGCGCATTCTGTAACCTGAATATTAATGTCATTCCCTTTCATTGTTTTCTTGGGATGGTTTTGAGCTTTATAATTTTGGTTTGCTACACACTGATTTCTTTTGAATATTGGACAGTCCACCTGGTTTGGACCAATGAGCATGCCTTTTTTATGTGCTTGGTTGTAAATATAATAGTATGCTATTGGACTTCGGAAGTTGTTTGTTGAACTAATATTTTGGTATTACACTCGCCTAATTCTGCTGTTTGTGCTGCCAGATTTCATTTCAGGATTTTGTATGTAGCAGCATCATGACTTCTTCTGTTCAGGATCCTTCTGGTATTTTCCATCACAGAACTTGGACAGACTCATGTCTTATACTTCTCTTCTCCTTTTCATATTCTTTTTGGTTATTTTTCTGGTCCCACAATGCAAACTATTCCTGCATTGTTCTTTTGGGATTATGGGCATTTGAGGGTGGGTGCAAGGTGTTGCCATTAGTTGAGACAGGGTTTCAAAAGTTGTTAAAATCTTGGAAAAAGTGGAACTTTTTGGTAGTGTTAGTTTCTGTGTTTTTTCAATGTTTTTAATTGGGATGACAGACTCCTAAATAGAAACTATAGTATTTTGATGGTAAATGCTACTTCAAGTATTTACTGATTGAAGGTTTTTCTCCCTCTGCATGTTGTACTATAGTAGTGAGGATCAGAACTTTAGATTGGGAAGGGAAGGCTGAAATATCTTTAGCTTGTAGATGGTCGATGCCCTAATGAAAAACAGAATTATATGTATATATTGGGAGTAAATACTTGTCTGGTTACAAATATTTAGTGTTTAATGATAAGTATAGGGTTATTATGCTGCATCTACTGCAGAAAGTATGCCTTTTTTTTTAATTTTCTTTTATTATATGTTGCAATGAGACAGTTTATTGTTTGGCCAATCATGTTACCACAGTTGGTTGCTATTATTATTTGTATTATTGAAATATATGTGCAGTTTTAAGGTATTCATTTTTGTGTCATTGGATCTGTAGAAGTTCATGCACCGTCCTGTTTTCTTATTCATTCTACCTGTTTTATATGTTTTGGATTTGGATTTGGATTTGGATTTGAATTTGTAGCATTAGGAACATTTCACTTGAAGAACATTCGAGGTGTTTCGATTCGCTTGGTAGAAGGGAAGGAAGGGGAGGGATGGAGGAGATGAGGGTAGAGCAAGCTTCTATTGTTTGGTAGAGTGAAGAGGAAGAGGGGAAGGATGGGAGGATAGATGAGGCATCCGTCTCGGCCGCCATTTTTTGCTTCCATTTAACATTGGGTGGAACAAGAGAGAGAAAAAGGTAATTTGTTGATAAAAATAAAGTGACATTGTTACCCTTGTTGACTTATTTTAAAGGGCGTGTAGTGGGGAAAAAGGCTTTGTTGAGTGGAATTCCTATTTTAAGGGTACAATGATAAAATGATAATATCATCTCCTTCCTTCCCTTCCACTCAACCAACAAAAAGTGTAATGGACACCCTCCCTTCCCTAGGGATTCCCCTTCCATCCTTCCTCCTCTCCTTCCATCTTTTTCATTCCTCCCACCTAGAAAAGCATAATTTCCTCTCTTAAAATCAGAACTTTTTGGGAATACATTTGGTTTGGTGTTTGGGAAACATATCTATTATAAGCATCTTTCTCAGCTGATGCTGCTGATTTATGCTAGAAGAATGTAAATTGTCCATTCTTTAGAGGGACACCCCTGCAGCTTGAAAGAATAGGTTGCTGTACACTTAAAGGCTTTATTTTATTTTATTTTTTCCCTGTTTAATTCAAAATATATATATATATTTTTTAAATATAATTCTTTTGATGATGAGAGAAATAAGGCTCAAAAGATTCTAGGAGGCCTTGCTGAAGAAAATGCTCGGCTGAAAATTGCTATGTTTCCTTTTGGAATATTTTTATGCTTAAAATTGTTTTTCCAGAATCGATTGGATCAGGAAAGAAAATTTGAAACTGGAAATTATTTACTTCCTTTTATTTCCTTTTTTATTTTCTATTTGTTGTGTGCATCATTAGGAAAAAAAAATGTTTTGTCTTATGGAGCCAATTCCTGTTTTATACTGCTTGTTATGAACCAAACAAGAAAGTGACTTTGATAATAGTAGTGATAAAGTGACAATATCATTTGGGCCTTCTGTGTTGCTTATGAAAAGCAACGAGTAAAAATATCATAGTAAATGAAGTAGTGTGAGCTGCTAAAGTTTTTGGTGCTCAAAAATCTACTATTTTTTGTTATCTTAAGAAATACATGTTGACCCAATTAGTTGGGAAAAAGGTTTTGTTGTGTTTAAGATATAGTTATATACATGTCACTTTTTCTTATAAATTATAAGCATGCTGTAATAAATGCATTTATGTGTAGTAGCACTTGGAAAATGGATGTGTGTCTATGTTCTTACTTCTTAGACCCAAGAATCAAAAGCCAAGGGGGCATGCGAACTTTCTACTTCTTTACCTTACGTTCGTCTTGACAGATAGGTTAAACATTATTGTTGAAAGTAGGTGTTATTCACCAACAGGCCTATGGCCTAACGGTATTAAGCTCCTACTTCTCAAAGAGAGGTCAGGGATTTGAGCCTCCGTGGAGGTATGTGTGTGTCACCAACTAGGAAAAAAAAAGAAAGTAGGTGTTATTCCTTTCGTTTTGGGGACATTAAGGATTTTCATAGAGTCTCTAATTGGTACTGCAGGCAATCTATAAGTACCCTGCAATTCTCTTTGTAGTAAAGCGTAGTTATGGTGGACCAAGCTTAAAAAACTCTCATCGGTGTATCATCATGCTTATATGTCTAATCTTGTTTAAATTAGGTAACATTAGTAAAATATTTTGCGACACTATAAATCATATTGCTATCAAACCAACTTATGTTTGCCGTATTTGGTAGTAAGTTAGACGTGGCCTCTTAAGTGGAGGATATTCTTATGTCTTTTTTATTAGAGTCGTGATACGACGTCCGAAAGTCGGACGCATCCGACTGTTTTATGTGAGTGGGGGACGTCTTCCACCACTGTTTTATGTGAGTGGGGAACCATCTGATGTGTCCAGACTTTTACACACTATATCATTTTCCTTTATTAAGTGGATTAATTGTAGAAGGTATGGCTTCAATGGAGTATTTAAGTTAAATCACTGTTCAAGCTTCTACATTCCTCCAGCTAATGGGAGGGATCCTTATTTGCTGCCGAGGATGCAACACATAGAGAAACCTGTAATTTTACCTATCTAATCTTCCAATAAGTGCATGATTATGGAACTTCTGATTTTCTTTGGACATAACGACATTTAGCCGAGTTGTTTTGCTTGAGTAATCGTGTTGATACAACGCCACAAGAGTAATGTATTCGATACATGTCTGAACAATAAAGCTACTGTATGAGATGCACCCAAGGACAGTCTCCGAATGAAAGAAGACTGATTTGAGTCCTGATGGTTGTTTCTATATCCATATAATCATCAGTTCATCACATTATGTCCCTGAGAATGAAACTCAGGGTTTTAGAGGAAGATTGAAGTTTGGTCATCGGAAATTTAGACAGTAACACAAACATCATAGACTAATGGTGTAAACCCGGCTTGATTACAGATAGTGCAAGTGTTCTTAACAGTTGTTTGTCTTAAAATTCCAAACTCAATTATGACATCATAACAATCCATGATGTGTATTCATAACTATTTTGGTGTCTAAAGAACAATCTTGGATTATCTGATGCAAATTGATCGCAAAAAAGAACATTATCAGCATTTTATAAAATTTATCTTTTTTTAAAAAAAAAATCTAATTCAGCCAACTGGTTTTGCTTTTCTGCCGTTGCACCCGTGTACTCAACTCTGTTTTAATATCCTGAGGTTTGTGATCGAGCAAATCTGACCTCAGAAAATACTCTTGCTTCGCGATGACATGTTTTGGCTTGGGAGTGGTAACTCAGTAGTTAACTGTTCATTGTGTTAAGTTAGTTCATTATGTGTGTTTTTAATATCTCCCATGTAACTTTTCATCATTATTGTGGGTTTTACTGTTAGAGAGGATGTAGACTAGAGCTCCCATGGTACTTGTGTACTTTAGACACCTTACCTGCAGCAGTCATTAGGTACTTCAGTACAAAATTGTGGTTTTGATTATGATATGTTTAGGTCCACAAATTGCTACTTGAGCTAGCCAGAACAAAACATTATTTCAGTACTCACTACACTAGCTATATGGTGCTGATAAAACTGAGCATTGATATTATATTAGGGGTGAATAAAAATTCACTTAATACTCATTCGTGGTTTTTCTGTCTTAATCGCATTTAACATGTCAAATCTTGAGTCCATTAGTCTTTTCTGCTATTGAATGATGTTAAAATACGTAAACACATACTAATGATAGAAATATAATTACTTTGTTTTGACTTCTGTGGGATCTTTGTTTTCTTTATTACGAAATATTAAATAGTTTTCCTAGATAATCTGAAAGCCTCATGGATCATAATTTGATCCATAACACCAACTTGTTTAATGCGAATGGGGATGGTTTAGTTTGGGTTGGCCAACTTGTTTCTATAAACTGAGTCCAACGATTCCTAGTTGAGATTCTTATAGATGAGCTCGTGTTTTGATAAATAGCAAGGTTCTTTTGTATTCAATCCAAGGTATATGCTTTTATTTTTTAACAACTTTTTGTTATTATTATTTATTTATTTATTTATTGTTTTGGGGTAGGGGGGGAGGGGGGTGTCCATGGCTTTTTCCATATCTTGCATCGATTATGTATATGGTACAACCAGTATGTTGCTCACAGAATGATTGCCGGATGAATGAAATGAAGAAGTGCTCATGGCTTGTTTGTGACCATAGAGTTCAAATTGCTATTTTGCAGTTATAAGGCCAACTGTGCCTCATGTTCAAACTGTTGATCAATTCAGAAATAACATAGTGTGAAAAAGTGTATCTGAGACGAGGATGATGAGTGAGTGAGTGGTGCATTCATGAGAAATTAGAATGGCGCCAATTGAGCATATGTCATCTGAGATGGTTTGTTTATGTGCAAGTGCAACATGACGTAATTAACATATTGAGATGGACGAGTGATATACTCCAATTTGAAGTGCCAAAAAGGATGACAAAGAACAAAAAATGCATGGGTTGAACCCATGATATAAGACTTGGTTGATTTGGATTAGTTATTAATTTGGCTTCACTAAGGATGGACTGCGGAGGACAGATCTAGGTAGCTGATCTAATATAGTAAGTAATAAGGCTTGTTGAGTTAAGTCAGGTCAAATTAGGGCTGGGGTAGTTGTAGTACCAGGGCTTAAGTGAGGGGGGATGAGAGATATATGCTTGTGGTGGTTATTCTCCTTGTGTGTAAGGATTTACTGCTAGATGATTTGTTGGGCTTATTGAGGTTCTTGGTTTCCAGTTGTTCTTACAATTTTCGAGTTTGTCTGTACAGAGATCATATATTGTGAAAAGGAAATTTGCATTATTTTGCTTATAATGGTCGACTATGTTGTTGATACCATGGAGCAGGAGTCCCTTGCTTTAATTGAAATCTTTCGGGTTATAGCTTATCCTTTACTTGGTATCTTGGGTTGACTTTTTTTTGCAAATTTTCTATTCTTCTGTGCATTATGCTTTTGTTATAAAGTACAATATCTTTTGATTCTTATCAGAAAATGGTTGTCCAGAAAACAATGAGGTTGATGAGCAGCAAAAGAACTCAGTACCTCAAATCCAGTCTTCGTCTCCTTCAACTGGGATCACTCATCGTGCCATTACAACGCCAAATGTTCAGTATCCAATGCCTCCACAACTTGGAGTTGGAAATGCTATGGTACTATTTCAAGTGTTAATTTTTTTAAATATCAATCTTGCTGTTGAGAGAACCTAGTACAGGAATTTCTAAATCTGACATCATTGAAAAATATATTCTGTTTAGTTGCTCATATATTTTGCTGATATTATTGGAGCTTGAAATTTGTTTAATTTTTAAAGTTCGCTTGTTTTGTAGTCCATTTCTGTTATCGTTTTATCTTGCAAAAGAACATACTTCCTCTTCTGCCTTCTTTGTCCATAATTTCTTTTGCAGTTACCTTGTCATTATGATCTGAAGATTCAGTCTCCCAGTGCCTAAAAATATATCTTATTGCTTCATAAATATGTTAATAACATTAAATAATTTTATGAGCCTTTTTATATTAATTTCAGCAAATTTTTTTTTTTGATAGGATGAGATCATTATATTGGAGTTTGGATATCAATATGAGTGTAATACTGACAGACGTTCGTGAGCAGATATTCTAAAACAAAAACTAAAAAGATCATTTGGACCTTGGAGAATAGCGCAAAAAAGAAAGAGAAAAATGGAAATAGGGAACTCATAGATTAAAGGTCATGGAATGTCAACACGCAACTGTGATCCTATAGATTGGTTCCAGATGTTTTAATTTAGAGAGTTATATTCATGGCATGAACGTATATGCAAAATTAGTTACTCTGTTTAGATGATCCATCAAGTTCTAATACTCAAGAAATTAGTTTTGGCTCTGCTGGAGTGCTATACTTCTGTGGGCAGTTTTTTCAGTTTCTTGCTTATTGTTGAAGATTGTATTGTTAATTGTTATTTTTCAGGGTGTTGTTTAAGTGATGAAGGAATGGTAATGGTGGTATGTGTCATTTGCAGTACTGGTAACAGGTTGGGGATGGTCATGCTAGCAGAAATTTCAGGCTATGATAGTTCGGTGTGGGGGTGGTTGTAATGTTGCCGGGGATGGCTTGTGAATAGTAAAAATATGATGGTGGTGATGTTTTTTGGGTTGGCAGGTGCTGCTGATGGCAATGGTGTGGGAAGTGGTGATAGACTGCCATTGTAACAATAGCAAATCCAGAATTATTATTATTCTTTTTGGTGGTGGGGGTGTGGCGGTGGGCAACTTACACGATGATTTTAAATTTTAGAGATTCCTATATAATCCTGACTGCCCAAATATGGATTTTTTTTATTTTTCTAATAATATTTTCATTGCAAAAATATTTAATGGATTAGTTCACTTAAAAAATGTCTCTTATTAAAAAGAACTTTCCCCCTCCGTTCCACCTTAATTGTTCCACTTTCTATTTTTAGATGTCTCAAATAAATGTCCCTTTTGGAAAATCAATATACTTTTTTACAACATTCCCAATTCGTAGAGAGGTAGCACACCAATTAATTTTTACAAAGTAAATTTTAGAGGGACAGTTGTTGAAATTCAATTTTTTTTGTTAAAACAATGTAAATGTTGGGACTTGGGTATCAAGTGAGAGCACTTGACATGCATTTTGTTTATCATTAGATACTCATTTTTCTCTATTTTCTCTCTCTCTCCTTTAATCAGAGTGTCTTTTCCTACCATGCATATATCTTGGATGATGTAACATGTATGTTGGTTTGTGGTAGTTTTTATCAAGTGGGTAGCTATTCTTCTCTGCTTTGGATAATGCTAATATCTTCTTTAGAGATATTCCTGTTAGTAAAATTTCACTTATATAATAGTCATATTTTATAATTCTAACCATTGTACCGCCTTTCAGATCAAGTCATAAAAGTTGCGCACTTTGACATTAATAAGAATTTTGTTGGGTTTTAGGGAGAGATCATAGATCTTTGGAGGAAATTGTTGATTTTTTGGCCTCTTTGAAGGATTGAGTGGCTTTTTGTATTGTTCTTGGGTTCCGCTCCCCCTTGGAGTGTTTTTTTATAAATTTTTTTATTTATTTATCAAAAAAAAAATAAGAATTTTGTTGTTTTGCCACCCAAAGAGTCTGCTTGTTGTTTGTTAAGAGTAGATAGTAACTTTTTAAGTGGCATGTGTCATGGGATTTTATTATTCATCCTGGTCTTGTCTGATGCAAAAGTTCTTGATGAAGTACTAAAAACCGAAACAGCTGTCGGAATGGTCCCAGTTCTTTACTTGGACTATTGAGAAAGTTTGGAATAGAAATCCAATTTCTAATTTAACCTAGATTTCGTGTAGAAATTTTGATAATTGTTTTTTTACCCTTCTATAATTTAATTGAAATGCCATATGTCTCAGGTGCAGCCGGCTTACCCATATCCAGATCCTTATTATAGAAGCATCTTTGCTCCCTATGATGCACAACCTTATCCTGTTCAACCTTATCCTGCAGAACCAATGGTATGTTGCTTTTCTCATTTCCATGTACCAAAAGTATCATTGATCTCAGTAATAAGTGGTTTGCAGTAATATCAAGATGGCACTTTGCTTCTTTTTTATTTTTTGGTTGGGGGATGTAATGCGAACATGCTTTGCTTTTAAATCTCGCTTATAAACATAGATCTTCTGATTGTTCAATGGTGATTTGTTTCAGGTTCATCTTCAGTTAATGGGAATTCAGCAAGCTGGTGTTCCATTACCATCAGATGCAGTCGAGGAGCCCGTGTTTGTCAATGCAAAACAATATCATGGCATCTTGCGCCGTCGCCAATCTCGTGCAAAAGCTGAATCAGAAAATAAAATGCTCAAGTCTCGGAAGGTATATAATTAATGATTTTAATGGTAATTTATGAAAAAAAAAAAAAAATTGATTTAATTGTATATATTTTCTCTGTTTTATTTTGATACAAATAATGTTTCATTCCATGGCTTCCTTAGATCTATGGGTTTTACTTCTAAATACAGCTTTCTGCTGATTCTTGAACTTGAACTGTCTAAACAACCTATATGGCTATATCGCAAAATTGGACATTTTGATCTCTATTCCTTGGCATGAAACCATCATGAAATGGATCCTATATTATGCTAAAGCATTGATGATATTTTAGTTAATTGGTTCACTGATATTTTCGTTTCGAAACATAAGGTAGATATGAATGAGATAATAGTGACCATAAAAATTCCATGCTGCAATGTTACTGACTTACTGCTATACCTACATTAAGATGTGTGTGTTTTAATCACCGGTCAACTGTGTGGGAAAAACCGCAGACTACCACATAAGGTAGATATGAATGAAATAATCGTGGGAATATCACTGCCTTTGCAACCATAAAAATTCCATACTGCAATGTTACTGCTATACCTACATTAAGATGTATGTGTATTTTAATCACCAGTCAACTGTGTGGGAAAAACAGCAGACTACCACCACCCCTCCAGATGCGTATAGCTCTGTGATGAAACAAAGCTTTGGGCCTCTATCAAGATTAAAATCTCTTCCTTTTTAAATCCATATTATTTTAGCAATGATTCTTTTGGGGCTTACAATTTAAAGTAAATGTGCAGCCATACTTGCATGAATCTCGACATTTGCATGCACTGAGAAGAGCAAGAGGATGTGGGGGCCGTTTTCTCAATTCAAAGCAGAAAGAGAACGAACAGAATGAGATGGCATCGGGTGACAAGATGCAGCCCAACATCAATCTCAACTCCGACAAAAATGATCTTGCTTCCTCAGATAGCACTTCTTGATATTTTCAAAGCAATGGTGATGTTTAAGCAATGGGCCTTGGAAAGCGGTTGTATGCCATTAATGGCCAGGAAACTAGGGTTCCAAACCAGCCTTAATAGTCCCAATATCGCTGGTTTATAGGTTAGTCAGGGTGTACTTTCAACTAAATAGTGTGTTTAGGTTTTTCTGTAGGGAGATTGCAGAGATAGAAGCGGAGTGTAGTGCGCAATAGATTTCATACTAGCTTTGTGCTCTTTCCTAGGGAGTGATGGTTGAGTTTGCTGTGTGGACATTTCTTGCCACTTGAAGGTCTGGTTGGGTTGAAGATATTTCTAACAGAGAAGTCTTGTTAGTTGTTTTCATTTAACTATGGTCTATTAGAATATAAGGTTGGCTCTTTGTTGTGTAATATTAGCAATTGGATTTATACTGTTATAAAATTTGAATAAATGTGGTAGTTTGACTAAAATTGATTATACCATAGGCAGGTTAATGGCATAATACCTTGAATGACTACTGCAACTGGAATGTCCTCATGTCTGCTCAGAACCAAGAAAATTTGAGAAACTTGACATTTGAAAGTTTAGTGCAATTGTGTTTTTATTGAATCCATACTCCCAAGGAAAATGTTTCTGATGCGCGAAAACATAGGCCAATTAATCATTTATGAGATGATACAATGTACACTCACAAAGATTTCATTGATCTTTCACAGAGAGAAGAATTAGGCCTTCCATCATCCTTGTAAGAATCAACAGCTCCTCTTCAATTTATTTTAGCATTTGAGATCAAATTAGAACTACTACTTCACACATTTTTATTGAAACCAAGGCACAAATAATAGGCAAAAGCAACAAAGGCCCTGTGAAACCCTAGTTTGAGGTGCCGCCTTAAAAAATGTTGAAATGGAGTGTCTTGAGAGGACAAAACTTTTGGATAATTGTGCACTTTATGGCAAATATGATTACTTTGAATCACCTATTTCCAGAAATGATTGGTTTGGCTCCCAACTGGTTTTGAGATTTGATTGTGGTAATTTCCCCCATTTCTAGAAGGCTTCTTGGCTAGATTTAACAATTAATTGATAAGTTTTATGTCAACCATTCTTGCATGAAATCATCTACTGCTGAACAACCTTTGTAAAGTACATAGAAGGCTCACATCAAAGCAGACAAATCAGTGCATAGAGAGCTCTGACAGAAAGATATAGCTTGGTCTATTTCATTATAAAACATGTCCCACATGTCAACATACTCAAAAGTTTAAACATTTTTAAGACAAGTCAGAAAAACATAAAAATGTATCTAAATCAGCTCAGTGAAAAAGATAATCATTCTAAAACTTATGCCCTCCAATTCATCCTACATTCTTGGGAGGTATCACCTTGTTCCCAGGGAAGGCGCTGCGAGAGACGTCCACCAGGGCCTTGAAGCTATATGGTTCGTGCATAGAGAGCTCTGACAGAACTTTCCTGTTAAGTTGAATGTTCTCCTTCATCAGCCCGTGCATGAAGTTGCCATAATTAACCTGATATGAAACAAAATAAATAAAACAAGATAACACAAGTCAGCATAGCATCACTTATATGTAGCTAGAAAAGAAAGCTCTCTAGCAGCTTGGTTCATACAGGTAGGTGAATAAACCAGTCAAGAATATGAAAAGAAAATCACCACAAGGTTCTGCATCTCAACTTAAATTAGTAGTAGTACATCTCATGGCACCAATAGTGGTGTGACCATACAACCTTTGTGTTTCCTAATCCACCGTTCATGAAATTTTTTCCAGTTCTTATACACCATAGGCTTCCACTCTAGAAAATACTATTACTGAAGGAAGCATCGATACGAGGAGAACAAGGCTGATTTTATTTGATCCATATAAAAAAGTTAGCAGATAAATGGTTAGGATAATACCCTGACAGCATCATGATATTCTTAGAAATGCGACCAAATCAAGTCATAGTTTTTGTTGACAAGGGAAAGTGTAACTAATGAAAACAAAGATCATCAAGAACAGTGTAAATTAAGACAACATTATACAAATCTTATCTCTAGCTATCTTTTATCTTAGCAATTTCTTCTACAGCAACGACAATACACTATTGAAATAATCATAGCACAAACCAAGGAATGGGAAGGCATCATTCTACAAAAGCAACAAGTAATCAAACCATAGCCAAAGATATCTGGATACCTCCTGGACATGACGCTCAATCGCTCACACCTCACATTGGCTTTCCAGGGTTCTTGTTTAAAACCTTGTAAGAATGATGACATTACCAATGGACAGGGAGAAGTACAGACCAAGAGAAGACAAGGTGTCCTAAAAGAAAGAATAACACCCAACTGACAACAAAACACTGGCAAAGATATTCGGACCCTAGTTGTAAGAATCCTACTTATGACACTCCCTTGGAACCCTCCAGCAATATAATTCCCAGACAAGGGGCAATTAATACTGGTAGAGAGCCATTGTAAACAACCGATACATCGCAAGGTTAAGGCCTCAAAACTTTAGTAGAACTGTGGGAAAGAGGATTAATATTTAAAATTTTAGCAAATATTTCCAATGTTATCAGTAGTATATTCTATACATGAGTTGGTAGCTTAGCGACGATAGCTCATATTTAGCAGAAGTGTGGGAAAAGAGCAACGAAGCTCAGGATAAAAAATCTCTAAGTACTACAGAAAGGGTCAAAGCTAAGGCAGGAAAAAAGTCGTTTACTACCATCAATTGAAAGAGTCGAAGTGAAGTGGCATGAACATTACTTGCATGGTCTTTCTCCCAATTTCTAATAGCAGTAACTACTACTAGTCTACAACTGTACAACAAGTCCAAAAACAGTGCAAAATTATATGGAAGCAGATGTATGACACTATTAAATGTGTTTGTTCCTAGTGGTTAACAGATTCCATACATTAACAAAAGAAGATCATGCTCTTTTGACATTTCTTTAACACTCATTTGCAATTATATGGAGGTAAAAACCGAAAATTCGAGAATGACATGTGAGCAGTTTGTTATCAAAAGAACAAATTGCCTTCTCCACCTCAAGGTGATGCACACCTTGGTACTATCTCGGGTATTGTAGACATACCCTCATTTCCATCCAGAATAATTTTAAATTTCCTTCTTCAACCCAACAAATTCATTATCAAAACTGCGGGTGCGCTATATGAATCCTATTTTTCTAAACTCAGTAATATGTTAGGAAAGTAACAAAAATTCTCCATTTTACCATATCATGCACGTTATCCTAATAGTAGTACATAACTAAGGTAGTTTGCTTTTGAAGGCCATTATGCATGTGTTCTGTAACCTCCACTCAACAATTGAGTGCCAATGAAAACCTAAACATGAGCAGGAGTTGTTTAACCATGTTTCTTCATATCTGAGCAATCACAACCCCTCCCCAACCATCTTTACTCCTAAATGTCATGTCTTTATTATCACAATGCCATATGCCTATCTATCACCACCTGTAACCATTTGTCCACCATTTTATTCTCCATACTTGTTTCGTTCATCTGTTTGCTTTAAATTTTCCGTTTTTCATTTTTACGTTCCTAGATACGGTACAAAGCCACAAGTCAGTTTCAGCACTCTGATGCTACATATATATGTGGTGATATATAATGATTAGTTACACAAATGAAAATTTGAAGATGATAAGATAATGGATGGCACCATAAAGAGTATGGTCTATCGGGTAATTTAATGTAATCATCACTGAAATTTTCATGTTTATCTTGACAAACGGTTGACTGCAGCTCAAATATAGCAAATGAATCCCATTATACATCATACATAATAACATATCACAGTATGATGAATGTTTAACTTTAAATCAACATGAAGTCCATTTTCAGGGAATCATAGAATCAGTAACTGATAATGGCATAAACTATTACACAATTAACAGTATATTATTCCAATAAAAAGAAATTCCCACAGCTACATGAGCATGACAATAAGATTCTATAATGATCAGCAAGGAAAGAAAGTAAAACACACAGCACAATTAAATACTGAAGAGGCGGATATTCTGCGGGTGAAGATACCTAATATGAAAACAGGGTATCATAGAACACAATTTCAAATATGCTGGATTATTATTTTTTTTTTTTCTCCCTACGTTGGATTATTGAAACTTGCCTATATAATTACACACCCTATGCCATGCTTACTGTACCAATGTGCATCACAACTCTGTCACACTTTGATCAGCAAGAATTAGAAATGAAACTGCTTAATAATCTTTCACATGTGCTTGAGTGGAAATGTAGGAGAAGCAAAAGAATATATTTTTCCACTCTCATAATTCACATTATCTAGATCCTTCAAACGCACTCTAAACACAAGTACCGAATTCAGCTGAATTGAATATTTTCAATTTTAGTGAAACCAAAAGAAGAATAACAACAAATGCCCCAAAACCCTTTCTTTTTCCTGTCTTTGATTGGCAGGAAAACAGAAAAGGAAGTGAAGTGGAATAGTTGATCAGTAATACAATTGTTCACACAGTATCAATCTAACCAAAAAACTAAACTAAATGCTTAACCATAAAGTCTGTAATCATTGGGAAGCTAAATACTAAACTAAAAGATAAGGAAATTACTCCGTGTTGGCGAGAGCCGGCGTTGATGCGTTCAATCCAGAGGGAGCGCATGTCACGCTTCTTGTTGCGACGGTCTCTGTACGAGTACTGAAGGGCCTTCTCAACCCTCTCTCTTGCGATCCTAATGCAGTTCTTTGCCCTCCCTCTGAAACCCTTCGCTAGCTTGAAAATCTCCTTCTTGTTCATCTTGGACTCTCTCTCTGTCAATGTAGATACGGAGACATTAGGGTTGGGAAGGTGAGAGCAAGAATATAAATTCAAGATATCAGTAAAAAAAGAAGGGAGAGAGCAAAGTTTAAAAATTAATACCTGTAAATTGATGAAATTTGTTCTGGAGCGTCCCTGGGTTCGAATCAAAGCTCAAATGAGTTCTAGAGAGAGAGACTAATGGCTAGGGTTTCAAACCTTCCGGTGACTGTGTTTAGGGATTCTCTGTGAATGGTTGATGAAGGTGAAATGGATTTGGTCGATTCAGGAGAGGTGATCTATATTCCAGTGGAAAACGGCGTCGTTTTAGCACTTCAGGTTTTTCGCCAGTCGAATTTGACTAGTGAGACTACGATTTGTTACACACAAACACCATGGGACTGTGTGTTTCAACTTTCAATCACAGCCCTTGTTTCCTTATACTCCGTAGTCCGTATCACTTACTTTTTAGGGTAAAGTATAATGATCACGAGAATTGCTATATGGATATGAGTTGGTTATTTTTTGTGGGTTATTTTTTATTTTTATTTTTATAGATAATGATAATTGTCATTTAAACAATGCCTTAAATGGTTTGAAAAATTATCTCTTAATATTAAAATTAAATTTATTTTAAAATATTAAATATGTTAAATATCAAAATTACCTTGAATAATATGACTCACGGCACCAATTTATTATGCTGAATTTCTTTATTTTTTCTAATAATTATAACTCATATGTATGGTGTGATTTTTGTGGCTCCAAGGATCAAGAGTGCATGTCCAAAACTAACCATGTTTATAACCCATATGCATCAACTGTATGGTCTCCCCCTTGAAGTTTAGTAGAAGGTAAATGACAATCAAAATTAAACGCATTATGTATCATTTAAAAATTTATTAATCCTATTTTTCACAAAAAATGTAAGCCAATGAAATTTGAATTATATTATTCTTAGCGACTCAGAGATGCAAATAGTTCAAAAAAAAAAAAAAAAAAAAATGGGGCCCTGGATAATATTAATATATGACAAATTTGACGGCAAACCAATCATGTTTCTCAACACCTTAGGAGTTTGGAAAAAGCCGCAATTTCAATCAAGGGTTAGAACTAGCTCTCAACACTGAACCCTAGATTGGCAAAGGTGGGATCAAAACTCAAACTCAAAATAAATATATTTTTGGGCTTGACTAAGCTTTGGGCTAAGAAAGCAAGGCATCAAAATTCAAGCCCATAACCAAAACTCAAAACTCGGCCAAAATGGGAAAAGGTCTGGCCCCTGGATAATATTTGGGAAATAAGTTTTGTTTCATATGTAGTGTAGACTATAGTGAGAGAAACTAAACGCCAAGGCAGTCAAATTTCAGAGAATTTAAAGCTAATATATAGTAGCATTTCAATTTTCAGCTGAAAACTTCTATATCAATCATATTATAGAAGTCAACAAAATAATAATAACCAAGAGCAACATTTCTGATCCTATAAGTTATATATATTCACAAGAAGAAGAATAATAATTAATATGAAAATCTGAAATGTAGTCAAAAGAGTGGCTCTCACTGTTGACCACTGTCAATGATTCCGTTAATGTCTTATTCAAACAACATGATGTCCCAATTATCTCCCCATCAAAGGGGTGTTTGGTTACAAAAATTCAACATAGCACAATTACATTTTTTTTTTTTTTTGTTTTATATGTTATCTGATCTCCAAAGCTTTCTAGTTTCAACTCTTGAATCATTTCCATTTTGCCATATATATATATTTCTGGTGCTGTTTGGTTTTGTCTCTTTAGGAACTTGTGTGATTTTCTTTTTCACCTCTTGAATGTAAATATTGGGTTGTTGAGACGGCCTTGGAAGATTTGGGCTTGCTTTAGTTCAGATTCACTTCACCAATGATGTTACTTTCAACCCACATGATAATGCAAGATTCCTACTAAATCACATCCAAGAACAACCCCTCCCACAATACCAAACTATGTACATGTGTGTGTGTGTGTGTGTGTGTGTGTGTGTGTGTGTTTTATATGTAGGCATCATTCATTGATCCATCAGTCAATGTTTGAAGTACTGTTAAATATGAGAATGCAGGTTTTTAAGGAGTAGTCCTTTTGTGGAAATAATGTCAAAGGTTGAATATGCAACCAATTCATGTCGAAACATCCTTGATTGAGATTATCAAGGCTTGTGCGGTTGACTATTATCTCTTTTATCTTTCAAAGGGGATGATGAGGGTTCGAGTCTCTATAGGGACAAATGAGTGTGTGAATTTCTTGCTAATAAAATAAATATAAAAAAATCATTGATTGATTAATGAGTTTGTATTGCTGTGTGTGGCGTTGATATCGGTTTGGTGCTAGAACGTCAAGAGAATTGGTGATCTATGATAGCAGAGCTGATGACAACCAGAAGGTCAAGAAAATTGGTGACCTGATGACAACTGAGCTAATGATGAAAGAAAATTGGTGATCTGATGATAACGGAACCGATGATGAAAGAAATTAGTGACCTGATGACAACGGAACCGATGATGAAAGTCCCGGTGAACAAGGACCGTAACTATAGCGATATTAGGATGGTGAAATTTAGTTCTGACCCAATGGTAATGATTTGGAAAATATATTCGAGAGACATTAGTAATGGTATATGAGTGTGTATATTTATACCAAGGTATTGGGAAAAGAGTGTAAAACCACTTGTAGATACAAAATACAATGTTAGTTACATTGCCCATGATGATCATTTTTTTATCACATTGTTTCTCACACACCACCATTTTATGGAAGAGCTTAAGAGATACTACTTAATTCACTAATGTGCATAGGACAATGATAAAGGAAATGCATGCAGATGTTTTCATGTCGACATTGATTAATGCTATTAATGGCACAGTCACACTCAACCCTAGAATCATGCCTTCATTTTTCCCTCCTTTTATGAGGTTTGGACCAATACTATTTATATCCTTTAATATCACTCCTAATCATGATAGCAAGTATTATTATATGTTACTATATTTGTGCTATTATTAGTAGCAAAGATATTACTAAGAATTTTTCTGTCATGAGCATCCTCATCAAGCTCTTGGGTTCCTCCTACATTTTTTTTTTTTTTTTTTTGATAATTACTTCCTCCTACATTTCCATGTGCACCTTTTTACATCACTTATCAATATTCATGGATGTGCCATTTCAGGAAGAAGTTCATTGTCCATAACCATGTAGATGTCTTCTAACTATTGTTAATGCATTTTGAAAATTGTAAGCATGAATAGTATGTAAATTAAACAATATCATTCTAGATGGTTTCTGAGTCAACCCTCAATCGAAAATGGAGGGTGTCAGCTATATGCGTGGATGCCTCTTCATGAACACGGAGTGAGGAGGGTCGTGACGGACTTAGATCCTCTCCAGCGTTGGAGAGATTATGTACTCCATTAAAGATGTATATTAAATCATCACTTGATAAGAATTGACCATTATTAATGAGTCTAGTCTAATATTTCAATCTCCACGATAAGAATAATCTATCAATTTAATCTGAATCCATGATTCTCTCTGGCCCTCTTTTCATTGTTGGAGAGGATCCTTGTCTAGTCGTGACACCCAATACCATGACACCCAATACCATGTCACTCAAACAATGCATACATGTCATATATATATGTGTGTGTGTGTGTGTTGTGTTTATATATATATATATATATATATATATAAGGATGGATAGATATAGATAGAGAAAGAGAGATGTAAAATGGAAGCAAAGGCACACAATTCTAGAGTGAGAAACGTGCAGGGTGGGGCTGATATTGGTCACAACAACTTCTTTTGGTGCATGACAAAAAATGGGGTCATCCTTGAGGGAAAGCTTTTTTGAGGCCCACTTATCTGGCTGGGGCTGGAAAAGGACTACCACCTTTGTTTATTTTGCAAAATCACGCAATGGGATATGGAAACATGCCGAAGTGGACCTGTCCATTGGTGGGCCTATAGTGTCCCAAACCCCTCCTCATTATAACTCTCTCTCTGTTTTACAAATTTATATAAATAAAGGCAATGAAAAAGTAAAAAGAAAAAATACACAGAGAGCTTCATGATCATCATATAGCTAGGGAGACAAGCAGACACCAAGTGAGTCTGTGTATATCCCCATTGACTCTCCTCCTTGAGCCCCATCATAAGCCATTAATTATATATCTATCACAGAGAGAGAGTGAAGAGAGATTGATATAGAGAGATAGAACTTGAGATGTGATTATATGCTTTGGATGCTTTCAGAAATACAACCCTTTATGCCAAACGTCAACCTTGTGAAATCTAAAAGTCAATTGCTTTTCTCCCCATCAATTCTCTCTCTATCTCTTACTTATCTCTCTCTCTCTCTATATATATATATGTATATGTATATATTGGATTCTTTTGAGTGAAGGGATGGTGGTGGGAAACACTTTCAATTGTCAAAAAAGGATAGTTGGTGCTGGTCGACCCTTAACCACAAAGAGAACAATGGGTTAGAGTCTAGTGTTTAAGCTTAAACTTATTTAAGATTTGGTTGTGAAGGGCTTATCAGCTTACTAAGCAAAGAAATGTAAGTTTTAAGCCTTTAACCAACATGATTTTTTCCTTAATTAACATGGCACTAATTAATTTGTTACTAAGTTTCTAGTGCCACTTGGCATGTATAGAATGAAAAAGCTTGAATAAGTTAGAGAGTTCATTATGGCACTGCACATGAAATCAAGCACACATGCTAGAGCTTGCTCCAGTGTGACTTTGACTTTTATATATATATATATCTGTGTGTATAACTGTATATGCATGCTTGTACTAGGTATACTTATATGTTCTATCAATGATTCTTCTATCCTCTTGTTACTTGAAAGTGGCCAATGCCACTTTCTAAATCTTCAATCAGTTGATCCTATTTGATCTTATTGGTCAACTTATTGGTCTTTGATGCAAGTCAACACAATGTTACCATCATTTTACCAGTTATAGAAGAATACTTGGACTTAGCCACTCGGACAAATTAAATTTACTCTGTTAAGATTCAAAGTGTGTAATTTAATTTGTATATGTAATTTATCTAATTTTATTTATATTTATAATTTAATAATATGATCCCTTATGGGGAATAATGAATAAAAAAATGAGAATTCATTGCAAGTCTTACAAATTAAATAACCCTCATATGTCTATATATTATAAGAATAGTTACTTGAATTTTGAAGTATTTTTTCTTTTATCGATAATGGTGGTTTTGGGCCACTTAGAATACCCTATAATTCACCATCGAGTATATATAATTCTCTGTCTCATATATACCAAGCAATTACTGAAAAAAGTTTCTGAAAATGCAGATAAGAAGTAAAAGCCTATGTCATCAGGCTCATCGACAATTCGAACTGTCAACAAGATAAGAAGTGAAGGTCTATATCAGGTTGATCCAAGGATGGACCCTATATATAATATTGGCTGGGGGCAACCCCCTCCCCCTAATCCCTTTTCTTTTTCTCTTTTTTTTTTTTTCCAAATTCAATTTCCTGGCGTCATTTACATATATGTATATATACACACAAATTATATGAATGATAAATATATATATATATATATATGATTAATGTATACATAGCCCTACCGACGTTCATACAGATTAAATTAATACACTTATTCATTATAATATTTGCCATAAAAGAATGTATGCACCGTTGTCACATGGCGGCATACATATTCCACTTCCATTGTGATTTCCCTTTTTTATATTACAATTAAAAAGTAACCTAATCTTAAACCTTTCCACTAATCCATTACACCCATGACTCCATTAGATTTTAATTAATTAATTCATAGTCAACAAAACCCACTCGAATTGGGTCATTTCTCGTGACATGACTTTCTTTATCTTTAATTAATTAATCATCCTGCGAATCTTCTTTCAACATTAATTCTTATCTTGTGGTCGATCACATGATCAAAAGGGACAAAACAGTCATTTTCATAGTAAATTTAGCAATTTTATTTATTTTTTCTTCCATAAATTTCATTGCTTATTGCTTCTTTCTAGAAGATGGTCCTAATGATCTTATCATGGTTTTAAGAAGACACTATTGGACTGGTCATGTTTTATTTTTGGTGGCATTTATTTTTCATGTCTTTGTATGATTGCCAAGTTTTGAATAAGACAGTTTGTTCCCTTTTGATTAATTGACACTAGTCTTGATAATTTTATTTAAAAATCAAAGAAATTTAAGGGTATTATATAGTTAAATAAAAGTTGTTTGGTTATTTTGATAGCATTTTTAAGGAGATTATAATCTAAATGCATTTACTCCATTTAGTGACCATATATAGAAAGGAAGAAAATTTATTTACAACAATTAAAAAAAAAAAAACTTAAAGATTAAAAAAACATATGAGAAACTACACACCAAAACAAATTATTATTCAATTACGTTAACACTTCATATATTTAACAATATGTCGTTATCACGAAACGAAATAATAAATAGACAAGGATAAGATGACATCATTTATATAAATTTGTTTGATAATTATTTTTATTTGAATAACAATATTTAAGTAGACGAATTAGACTTACATTACTGGAGTAAAACAATGTTTATCTACTTTTAGATTTGTTTAGCCATCATGAGTACCATTTATTTTTTTAAGATTACAAGACATGTTGATGTTCAGTTATTTGGAGTCCAAAGAACACAAAAAAATTTAAGTATAATTTCGCAAATAAATGGCGGTGAATAGGCATTTCATGATAAGTGCAAAAAAATACCCATAAAGTATGTTTACAGTGTAACATCATCTCTTACGCATGTGCAAAAAATATCTTTAAAGTTTCAATTTTGTGCAAATAAGTCCTTCTGAAAAATTTAAATCATGAGTTGACTAAATTACCCTTATTACATCATTTTATAAAATATATAAAAATAAATAATTTTATAAAATGACCAAAAAGGACACATTTGGAGGACGCCCCTCACGTGCAAAACACTCCTAAAGTTTTAATTTGGTGCAAATAGGGCCCTCTGACAAATTTAAAACATAAGTTGACTAAATTACCTGTATTGAACTATTTTATAAAAATAAATAATTTTATAAAATGACTGAAAATGACACTATTGGAGGACGTTGACAATTGACAAGATAAAAATAGAACATAAAAATAAAAATAAAAATAAAAAGTATAAAAGAAAAGTAAAGATAAAAATATAAAATAAAAAATGAAAATAAAGTGCAAACTAAATAAAACAAATCTGCTCCAAACTCCGAAAATCAGTGTACACTGATATTAAGATTTTTTTTTTTTTTTTGGTTTAACAATGTTGGTACAAAAAATAAAAAACTAAATGGCATAAAATAGTAAACTGAAATCTCAACAAACTCAAATCATTATTCTACAAATTCTTAAAGTCTTAAAAAAAAAGGAAAAAAAAAAAAAAGGGTAATACGCACATAACATCCCTATACTATGAGATTAGTATCATATATATCCCTTTGGGCATTTTCGAAAGAGTAAAAAGATAAAACGGATATTACATCAGTAATTTATGTGAGGAAGAGTATTTTTGTATAATGTAAAAAGATTATGAATGTTTTTTATATACTTTTTTCAATAGGGATAAAAATACTATGCAGAATATATTTTAAAACTATTTTTTTGCAGTTATCCCCATTTCATGATTATAGGCTATAGGCATATACGATGTTTGGATGAAAATATCACACAAAATCCACGTGAAAGTGACTTTCTTTTTCCTACTTGTGTTGGTACTCCAAAAAAGAAAAAATAAAAGCTATCTTTTTTAACATGAGGACAAAAACAGTATTGATTATGGGATATAATATTAGGGATTCGATATTTAGACTTAGGGACTTCATACTTCAAATTCTATCATTTTTTAAAATAAAAAAATAAAGCTATATCGATTTTTCTAGATAAAATCACAAATAATTTAGGGTTACCTTAGGGAAGTTTGATGAGTTGAAGTGGAGAAAGTATTGAATACTTCTCAGGTTATGGTACCCCGGGATAGTGACAACCTTTTGGTCATGGATGTGGTGGTGAGTCCCACAATATTCAACAGCTAGAATGATTCCGGGTGTCACGGAGGTATTCAATACTTTCTTGTTGAAGTAAATTAGTTGACTGAATACTTTTGATTATGTTTGCAATAAAATAAAGAAGTGGTCCAATCAATATTGTTCGGCAATTTTTTTCAACAGTTCAACTTAAGTAACATTAATCTTCATCGAATGTGTTAAATTTTATTTTAGGTTTGTTTGTTTCGACATAAAATAATTTTTTTTAAAAAAATATTCTTCTTTTTCATGTAAAATACATATATTTTATTTTTATTTTTAATATTTGGCAAAAATCGAAGTTGAAGTTGAGGTCGAGTCAATCGAGGTAGGCGTGTAAAATAACTTGTTAATATTTTTTTTAGTTTAAATATTTTTTTTAATCATAAATATTTTGGGACAATCAAACACGAATTTTTTTTAATTTTTTGCAACTACCCAAAAAATTCTTGTTTAAATTTTATATGTGGGCCAATCTTCTTGATCGGGCTTTGTGGGTCCATGTTTCCTTGATGACCATATGGTCCATATCCACTGCACCCAAACAAAGCCCAGCAACACCAACTCCTTAATTGGCTAGAGGCCCATACAAACGTGCAATTCGGCTTTGGGTCAACCCGCCCAAATACCTTTAACCTATATTATATATATTTCATTGAAAAAAACAACACATACCCACTCACGCACACTTACTTTATCCATTTGAGGACTCAACTCTCACCATCCAGATATTACTAAACTTACCTATATTACATATATAACCCCGCGGGCACCATCCACTTTAGGTTAGGTACAAGGGACTTACCTATATTACATATATAGCCCCCCCCCTCTCACACACACACACACACACACACACAACACAATTTATAACTAGACTTACCTATATTACATGTATAGCCCCTCTCACACACACAAATATACAACACAGTTTATAACTTTGTATCTACCAAATCATATCCAGCAAAGCAAGGATTTGTCATTTTCTCTGTCCTCAAGCCTCCCTTGCATGCCCTCACTCCATACATATATCCATACATCACATGCATGTTACATGCATCATCATCATATCATATGAGAGGGAAGAGAGAGGAGAGAGAAAGTGATTCTGAGTAGTTTTCTTTTTCATAGAGAGGGAAAGAGACCAAAAGCTACAGCCAACAGCTAACCCTTACGTTGCTTAAAAACGTTTCTCCCCAGTCTGCTTCAATAAAAACAAATCTCTGCATTCCATTTATTATCTTTTCAAATTTACTCCAATACGTCACAAAATATACAGATAATCTTTCATTTTTTTTAATACAGATAGAGAAAATGATAGAAAAAATATACAAAAAAAATGTATAATTACATAATATACCTAGAAATAATTACTGCTTGCAACAAACAAGAGTGACAGAAAAATAAGCACATTAGACAAAAAAATACAAATATTTACACAATGAAATAAATAAAAAATGGGACAAAAAAAGAGTAAACACACACCATACCACAAAAAAAAAAACACACACACACACACAAGAATTTATGTTACAGTGAATACACTACAAAAATCACAAATTCTTTCTAAACGGTCTTATAAGCATGTTACAAGCAAAATTCAAGCCATAATTTTTATTTTATATATATATATATATATTACCAAACAAAAATGGGGTCAAAATTAGGTCACATTACAATTTGAATTGAATTAAAATTCGTTCACTATAACTTTTTTAAATAATAATTTTCAGAAGAAAAAAAAAAAAAAAATTGTAACAGGCCCGGCTTCATTTGTCCATTTGGTGTTTGTTTTTGTCCGTTTTGCTTTTTCTCTCTCTTACTCCCTCTTTGTATTTCTGTGGGTTGGTTTGTTTCTCTCTCAAACTTCCTCTCTCTACCCTTCACTTTCGCTAAAATTCTCGAGATTGGTGTCTGAGATAAAAGATCAGGGGACCCTGTTCAAGCTCTTCTCCAACTGGGTTTTTACACAAACTCATCCCCTGTGCAAGAGAGAGAGAGTCTGATGAGTGAGAGAGGAGGCTCTCTTGGACGAGAGAGCCTGCCTGTTCATGCAAATTAATCACCACCAATTCAGTGTCGATACTGTGAACCAAGAGCTCTAAAACACTCGTACACTCTCTGGGTTTTTCTCTGTTTTTCAACTTTGTGAGTATTTGTTGTTTTTGTGTTCTCTGAGTTTGTTGTCAATGGCGCTTTCGATGCACAGAGATCTCTCGAACAAGCAGATGGACACGAGCAAGTACGTGAGGTATACACCTGAGCAAGTGGAGGCCTTAGAGAGGGTCTATTCGGAGTGTCCAAAGCCTAGTTCTATGAGAAGGCAACAGCTTATCAGGGAATGTCCTATTCTCTCTAACATTGAGCCTAAACAGATCAAAGTCTGGTTTCAGAATCGCAGGTATCACCAAAAATTCAAATATTTTGAAATTCTGGCTGTAATTTTGAAAAGTGGGGTTTGTGTTTTGTTTTTTATTTCCAGCAAAAAAAAAAAAAACACTGAGTTCTTTGTGGTGTCCTTTTCGTATCTGGGTCTCAACCAGTTTTGTTTTTTGTTTTATTTTTATTTTTATTTTTTGGTTATAATTTTTGGGTATTTTGAAGAAATGAGAAATGGATGTGATCTATATGTTCTTGCCTTTTGTTTTTGAAATTGGGAATGTGAAAGATTTGTAAAATGAGTACTTACAGTTTTGCTGTTTCTTGTTTTTGCTTTCTTTTAATTTCTTTTCTTCTTGTGCTTCATTCTTTCTTTTATAGTTTCGAGTTGGGTTGGAAAAAAATGAGGCTTAGGAGATGGTGTGGTTGAGTTACTCTTGTTCCGGTCTAAATTTACTGTATTTCTTGTTTCATGGGCAATCTATCTCTTCTGTTTATTGATTATTAATGGTGAATCACTGAAAGAGGGGAAATGTGGGTGTGTTTGAATTTGTTGTCCAAAATTTATTCGGAGCTTCTTTTCCCAAAATTGTTCTGGTTGTTTATAAGCAAAAGCTTGAGTCTTATTGGTGTTTGCTTCTGTTCTGTTCTGTTTTAATTTACTATTTTTACTTGTCTGAAATATTTCTTTTCTAAATAATAAGAATTAATGAAGGATTTGGGAGTAGTGAATCAGTGACAGTGGTTTGTCTTGGTTTCATTTGTCATGTTTGTGTTATTATTTTGTGATTAGGATGAAAGCCCCCTGCATGTCTGATTAATTCAGATCTTTCCCTTTCTTCTTTCTCTATTATCATATTTTTTATTATGCTCGTGTTATTGTGTTTTATTATTTTTTTTCTTTTTTCCTTGTGCTTATTATGGATAGACTGAAATTCTGGCCAACAAAATTGTTTTTTTTTTTTTTAAATAAAAAAGGCCCTTATTCCGAGTTCTCCATTAAATCAATGATGCACTTTTGAAAACAGTGTTTATTGTCTTACTCAGTTTCTGGACAGTGTTAACATTAAAAGAAAGAAAATGACAGCAAATCAGTTTACTTTTGATGAACATCATTGTGTTACTGTACTGAATTTCTCTACGTTTCATTATTTGGGCTTCTTTATTTATTTTTTGAATGAAATATGCTACTGCCTTGAAATGGGTTTCAGTTGGCTTATATCTATAATTTGGGTAGATCTGATATTAAATGTGAGATATTGACAGCTGACTTGTTGCTTTTGGTGAGTATCCTTGTCATGTGATTACACTGGTATTTTACGTGTTTCATCATATTTTGGGGTAAAATTTCATTTTTATTTTTATTTTTATTTTCTGCAGGTGATGCTAAAAATTAAACTTTGATGATAAGGCATACATTAATTTGCCCGGGAAAAAGAAAGGGAAAAAAAAAATTTAAGCTTGGGAACTTTATATTTTTTAACTTTATTTGGCTTTAGTAGTATGGCCATTTTTTTTTGGCTGCAAAATAAATGGCAAGCTCTCATTTCATCTTTTACATGTTTTGTAGATTGTTTTATCAACAAATGAGAAAGAAAGTATGATTTAGGGTTTTGATAACATGATGTTAATTTTGATGTGATGTTATTTATGTGTTTATTGGGTATTTTGCTAAAATATTACTCAGATGTTTATGCTCTCATAGCATTTGGAACTAGTCCATCCTATTATTATTATTATTGTTATTATTTTTTAAACTTGAAACTAATTACTATTCACTGCTATACAACATTCATGCGATTAATTGATGAGAAAGGTTTTTTTTTTTTACATTATTTTGGTGAGGATTCTAATTTCTTAAATGAATTAAGCTCCTTTAAATAATTATGAATGAACCTACAACGGGAAATCAATTGGAATAATTCCATATTCTAGGTAAATGCTCCTTTGCATATTGACAATTTACAAATTTTATGTTGAAAATTTGCTTATGGTCTAATGTGCATCACCTCCATGCCAAAGGCTACAAAATTGAATTTCATATTAGTGGTGTATGCGTCATATCTTTGATGTTGAAATGGTATATTGATGTTACGTCCATCAGTTCAACTCATTTATGCCTTTCTATAAGTCATTCACTTGACTCTGCCAATTTTTTCTTTTGAGTGCCCTTTCTACTTTTCTAGTTGTAGAATGCGATATGTCTTTTTGCTTGAAAGATATATGTAGGTGGAGGAGTTTGTTCTCAAATTAACATTTCACTTCTATCTTTGGTAGATGCCGTGAAAAGCAGAGGAAGGAAGCATCTCGTCTCCAGACTGTAAACAGGAAGCTCAATGCCATGAACAAGCTGTTGATGGAAGAGAATGACCGTTTACAGAAGCAAGTGTCACACCTGGTTTATGAGAATGGATACATGCGCCAACAACTGCACACTGTAAGCTCTCTCCTTTCGGCATTTGGCTCATCTGTTTTAAAGCATTCCCTGGTTTGTTTTCTTGCTACCATAAAGGGGAATGTAATGTTTTTCTCATGTTTTTACCTTGGCAATGTCATTTAAAATTATGATTGTCCATCAAGAATAAAATTTTCTCTTATATCTGTTTGTTGGATTCTGGGTCCTTCATCTTTTCCCTTTTTGGTTATTTGTTGAAAATGTAAAAAGTAAACATTTACTAGTCCTCAATTCGGACACTACGGCATAGCGCTTTGGCACAATATATTTCCAAAATTTGAATTCTTTAGGTTGATGGTTCGTGAATTTTCTATAATTCTGCAAGATTGTGTTTTTATGTGATTATATTTTTGAAGAATTAATCTCATTTGGTGGATTGTAACAGGTATCCACAACAGCCACAGACACTAGCTGCGAGTCTGCGGTCATGAGTGGTCAGCATCAACAACCAAACCCAACACCTCAGCGTCCGCAGAGGGATGCTAACAACCCAGCTGGGTAATTAAATACCATCTCTTTTACCTATTTAGACTATTTATATTAGGTTCAGGTTGTTGTCAATACTCACTGGTTTTGTTATTTTCTTTCTCAGTCTTCTTGCAATTGCTGAGGAGACCCTGGCAGAGTTCCTTTCCAAGGCTACTGGAACTGCTGTCGACTGGGTCCAGATGATTGGGATGAAGGTATGACAATTTAGACCTTCCCTCTATTCATTTGTTCACTCCTTTTTTCTTTTTCTCCCCCCCCCCCCCCCCCCCCCCTCCCCAATTCCATATTTAATATGAAATGTAAAATTCTTGTTTTTTATGCGGGCAGCCTGGTCCGGATTCTATTGGAATCGTTGCTGTTTCCCGCAATTGTAATGGGGTAGCAGCGCGAGCCTGTGGTCTTGTGAGTCTAGAACCCATGAAGGTAGTTCTCGTGAACATTATATATTTAGTGATTTCGTTTTTCATTTATCATCATTTGGATGGAAGAACTGGCATAGCAAAAATGTCATGGTTTTGCATTCTTGTATTGTCTTAGTTCAAAGTATATGATGAATTTCGTTTCAGATCGCTGAAATCCTCAAAGATCGTCCATCTTGGTTTCGTGACTGCCGTTGCGTTGAATTATTTAGTGTAATCCCTACAGGAAATGGAGGGTCAATAGAACTCATATACATGCAGGTTTGTATCCTTGTAAACCAAAAGTTGTTTCAGAGCTTTGATTTTTTCTTTTATTTTTTTTTAATTGACTCAGGCATGCAAAAATTTTGAATTTTTTACTCTTCTCCACTCAGACTTATGCACCAACAACATTGGCATCGGCACGTGATTTTTGGACACTAAGATATACTACAAGTTTAGAAGATGGAAGTCTTGTGGTAAACCTTTAAGCATGATTACAAATATTTCTTTGAATCTTTTTCTTTTTTGTTATTTTGGAAGAAATTCAGAAGTTTGTGAGTATTCCTTTTGTAGCCATGTAAATGATTCTAAAATCAGGTGATATTTTCCTCACTGAATGGACTTGTGGCAATAGCAAATGAGCAAGATTTAAGGAGTTCCATTGATGTGATAGTAGTGTTTGATTTTGATATTAAACCTGCAGATATGCGAGAGGTCTTTGACTTCTTCCACTGGTGGCCCAGCAGGCCCGCCTCCGTCATGTTTTGTAAGAGCCGAAATGCTACCTAGTGGTTTTCTCATACGACCTTGTGAGGGTGGTGGCTCCATTGTTCACATCGTTGATCACATCAACCTAGATGTAAGGATTAAATTCCCAGCCAGTTCTTCCTACTATTACATTCTTGAATTTTGATTTCTTCATTTGGCCTGTTTGTTCTTAATTTACCTATTGTGTAACTTAGGCTTGGAGCGTTCCTGAAGTTCTGAGGCCGCTCTATGAATCATCCAAAATTCTAGCTCAGAAAATGACTATGGCTGTAAGTACTTCATGCATGGGGTTGCTTTATATATAATTTGGTCAACTTTTGCCTTCCCATTTTTATCATCTTAAATATTATATGCAGGCCTTGCGACACATTCGGCAAATTGCACAGGAAACTAGTGGAGAAATTCAGTATAGCGGGGGTCGTCAACCCGCTGTGTTAAGGACATTTGGTCAGAGATTGTGCAGGTGAGGGGCAATCAATCACTCAGTTTTGTGAAACCTAGGCATAGTGTTTCTGTTGAAAATGTGTCAACAGGATTTATCCCATCTTATTGATGATTGAGTTAATGTGGACTGACCGACAAATTAAATTGCAGATAACTGATCCACCCACTGGCTGGGTGAATATTCGACTAGGTTTCCAAGACAGTGAAACCTGGAATGTTCTGTGTCTGTTTGTTTTGATTTGATGCGCTTAACCTATAACTGAATATTTTTTAAATTCGTCCTCAGGGGTTTTAATGATGCTATTAATGGATTTGTGGATGATGGTTGGTCGATTATGGGTAGTGATGGTGTGGAGGATGTGACCATTGCCATAAACTCATCTCCAAGCAAATTTCTTGGTTCGCAGTATAACACATTGTCAATGCTTCCAACTTTTGGAGGAGTGCTGTGCGCAAAGGCATCAATGCTTCTTCAGGTACTTCAAGAAAACTGAATTGGTCGTGTGGGACCCACTTAGGATGAAAGATGCAAAAAAAAGACTTAATATGATAATCTTTGGCTGGCCCCCTCTAGTTTAATTTTATAATCCTCTCTTCACACACAGCCTCCTTTCCATAATGGTTGAAAATTCTTTGCCAGTGTTTTTTATTTTTTTTTATAAATGTATTATTTACTAACTGCTGATGTTGCTATGCAGAATGTTCCCCCTGCTTTGCTTGTTCGTTTTCTGAGGGAACACCGTTCCGAATGGGCTGACTACGGAGTTGATGCTTACTGTGCTGCATCTCTTAAAGCTAGTCCTTATGCAGTTCCTTGTGCCAGACCCGGTGGCTTCCCTAGTAGCCAGGTCATTTTACCTCTTGCGCATACTGTGGAGCATGAGGAGGTAACCAGCCCTAACACTCGTTCTTCTATTTTATTTATTTATTTATTTCTTGCTCATATTAATATCAGACCAAATAAATTGATCATTCTTTTCCTCCCGAAATAGTTCTTGGAGGTGGTCCGCCTAGAGGGTCATGCATTTTCCCCAGAGGATGTAGCTTTGTCACGAGATATGTACTTATTACAGGTAGAGCTATTTATTCTATTCATGTGTGAAAATAGTTTCTTTAACTGCTTTCAGGTATAGGAATTTTTGTTTGATTCAGATTTCCTTGTACTAATTTTTCTCAAATCTGCCATGGCAGTTATGCAGTGGGGTTGATGAGAATGCAGCTGGTGCCTGTGCTCAGCTTGTCTTTGCACCTATTGATGAATCGTTTGCTGATGATGCTCCATTGCTGCCATCTGGTTTCCGAGTTATACCATTGGATCCTAAATCAGTTCAGTGACTTCTTTTTATTTATTGCTAAAAATAATTTTGTTTAATTGAAATTGTTTTTGAAAATATATGCCTTAATTATGATAATGAAAAACTTGGCCAGCGAGGAGAACCTACAAAATGTCATATAAACTGATGTTATTTTTTAGTTCCTCAAAAGACCTAGCAAAGGTGTGACCAGCCGAGCAGGATCTGTTTTTGGTTATATTTGCGTTACACTACTCATTTTTTTTTTACATTGTAGGATGCCCCTACTGCGACCCGAACATTGGATTTGGCTTCCACGCTTGAAGTGGGTCCTGGAAATGCACGTCCGACTGGGGAAGCTGATATGAACAGTTATAATCTTAGATCAGTTCTGACTATTGCATTCCAATTCACTTTTGAAAACCACTTGCAAGATGATGTTGCTGCTATGGCACGCCAGTATGTGCGTAGTGTTGTTAGCTCTGTTCAGAGGGTTGCCATGGCTATTGCCCCCTCCCGACTCAGCACCTTTATGGGGCCAAAGCCACTGCCTGGTTCACCTGAGGCTCTTACTTTGGCACGATGGATTTGCAGGAGCTACGGGTATGATTAAAATGATCTCTTAAAACTAGAATTATTTTGTTTAGTGACCGTTAAAACCTAATTAAGCAAAATAAATCAATAATAATTTGTTTTGAACTGTCAGTCGCCGACACCAAAATCACTCATAATGTAATATATCTGTGTCAGTTATTGCTGTGAAAATTTTGGTGGATGAAATGTGTTAATATAGTTTTACTTTGGTATTTGAAATAAAATCCTATATGTTCTTTACTGTTGTGTCTCAGGATCCATACTGGAGGAGAGCTCCTCCTGGTCGACCTCCAAGCAGGTGATGCTGTCTTGAAACAACTTTGGCACCATACAGATGCAATAATGTGCTGCTCTGTGAAGACAAATGTAATTTCTGTGTCACTTCTTCCTTGAGCAATCTAGTTTTTAAATATTATCCACTTGCTGTCCCTTTCAACCATTTTCTACTTTTTCAGGGTAGGTATCAGGTTTTTTGTAGATTTTTTTATAAAGGAGGAAGTTAATTTGATTGGTAAAATTATAATTGCAGGCATCTCCAATTTTCACCTTTGCAAACCAGGCAGGGCTTGACATGCTTGAAACTACTCTTGTGGCCCTTCAAGATATAATGCTGGATAAGATTCTTGATGAAGCTGGTCGGAAGATTCTACTCTCAGAGTTCTCTAAGATCATGCAACAGGTGAGATTAATTGTCAATGGTTGGCATTGGATTTTTGCTGCTTGTTCAAGTTGAAAACTAACTATTGCCCAAGCTTCTCGCAGTGCATAAACTATTGTATTACATATCAAATATTGTATCTTAAAGTCACAGAAAAAACAGGGGTAAAGGTGTTTCGACATGAGCAAAAACCCCTCTTTTTTCTTTTGTTAGATTAGGGCAAAAACTCAGCTCTTACATTATGCGTATGTGTATTTTGGTAGAAACTTGTAATGCATTTGAACAATGCCATGACAGGAATTCAAATATGGGTACGTGTGTTCTAAATGACTAAATATTAACCATTTAGTACATACACAAACCGTTCTTGTTTATTATTTGCGAGTTTGATTCGAGTACAAGAACCTCTTCCCTAATATTTTATACACTACTAATTTTGTGATTCATAATAAATGATTCTGAACATCTCCTTGCTGGATTCTTACTGCAGGGATTTGCCTATCTACCAGCGGGGATATGTGTATCTAGCATGGGCAGGCCGGTGTCTTACGAGCAAGCCATCGCATGGAAAGTCCTCAACGACGACGATTCTAGTCACTGCCTAGCCCTCATGTTCATGAGCTGGTCTTTTGTGTAAAAGGGTAACAGATACCCCCAAAACTTGGTATTTTAGCTCTCTTAAGTTATAATAGTGTCTATTTTGTTAGAAACTTGCATGTGACATATGAATGATACATTGGCAGTATCTTATGGCACTTATCTATTTATATATGATTGTATGGGTTGTATTAGTTTGTTTTTGCTGAATGGCCATGGTGGTTGTGTCTGTTTGAATGATTTGGAATATCTTAGCATGTTGGGTGAAATTTCAAAGAAAGTGGCATATGTTTGGACTGTTTGGTGGCATCAGCAAGGCCTACCTACTGGTGCGTGTGTTGGGCTGGTTTGGTTACTTGGCACTCCTTATAACCATTTTTTCTGTTTGTTTACATCACTGAACAGTATTAGTGATTGACACAAGCAATCATACTCTCTTGTTTTTCTACTTGGAGAAAGTCCTTGAGACCATATGCAATGACTTCGGATCTAGAATGTTTCAAACCTGTTTTCCCCTTAGGGCTCGTTTGCCCACCATTGCGGATTTGCGTTTCCGTTTTCATCCAAAACAGAAATAATGCTCATCTGTGATTGGAAGCATGTTTTGGTAATGTAAAATTTGTTGTAACATTTTCGAAAGCAATAGCATGAAAACATTTTTGAATGTCAAATGTTGCATAATTGAGTGACAAAATGGCTGATTAAATTGTTTTGGTGTTTGGCTACTGTTCGCTGCTACATTATTTGTATTACAGTGCGAAAACATTTCTTCTCCTCCAACTTGGTGTTTATAGGCCTTTTCTCATGGCTACGAGTCTACGACTGATTATCAACTGTGTTGAGTGGTGTTTTGCTTCACTACAGTCCGCCACACGAAACACGCAATAAAAACACTTGCCAAACAGGGTTTTAATTTTTTGTTTTACTTCCAATATGAGGGGGAAAAAGAAGTGTTCTTATTATTGGGACTATAACTGGAGGTAGACAAAATGATTTGTGTTAGCTATTGCCTTATTAGAAAGTTGCAACAAGTTACTCCATAATGCTTCAGCTTTCTTACTTTTCTAGAAGGAAAAAAAAAGGCAAATGATTCATGTGCTTTTGGTCCTATTAATTGTTGGATGTTTGTGGTCAAAATTGCATTTTATGGTGAAATAATTCATCATCTACTTTTCTCATCCTTTTAATGATAGAATTAATAAAAGGGGTAGAAAATTTGGACATACTTGCCAATTAAATTTCTAACAAACATTAGACCTTGAGGTTGAAGATAATCTGTTACCAAGTGTACGAAGATGTCCAAGTTTTTAGTGTATGGTGGTATTGAAGACTAAAATCAAAAGAAAATTAACGCACGGGTGGTACAGTCATTAAAATTTCTCAAGAGACAAATCGTAAATTTGGATACTCAAGTGACCCACTGGTTAAAATATCTGAAGGGATTCAAGAGGTGAGCCCTAAATTCGAAAGTCCATCTTTTTAAATAAAAAATAAAACATTCAAAAGAAAATGTGTATTGCAGATAAATATCTTAAGGCTCGGTTTAGATAGATAAAAGAAAGGAAAGAATATTAATAGTTCGGTGAGAAAATAAATGAAATGGTAACAATAATATATATATATATATATATATATATATATATATATATGTTTGAATAAATATAAAAAAAAAGAAAAAAAATAATAGAATTATTGTTTGGTTAAGATAGAGGAAAGAAAGCATAATAACCAAATGAAATAGTTTGAAAGTTATAAAGGCTCATTAGCATTTAACACCCATATAGTATGCGTGTAGCTCATATAACCCCTTTTAAGTTCTGAAAATCTCATATCGTTTATTATTTGGGCAAATAAGGACCTCCTATCAATTGGTCGTTAAAGGGTGATAAAAATACTAAAATACCCTTCCTATAATTAAATATTAATTATAATAAAAATTCAGTTAATGTAAAATTACTATTGTACTCTTTATTTTTGAGATTTATATATAAAAGGAAACAGCGTTTTGGGAATCAATAAAGGATGGTTTTAGTATTTATTAAATTTAATCAGTCATTTGTCAAGTACATGGTTTTTTTAAAAAAACCAGTTTTTTTAACAATAACAGTCTAAAAGTGCTTATTTATAATGCTTTTAAATTCTTGATGGGATTATATATCCAAAGTAAAATAAAGGAATATTATTTGATCAAAATATAAACTTCAAAAAGTGTTTTAGATACTTAGTCCAATTATAAAATACTCCTTCTGTTTTAAAAAAAAAAAATATCATGTTTAAAGAATCGTAATTATGAATACGATTTTCTAAACAAAACACCTAATTTAAAACAAAAATAATATTACTTAACCCATTATTTTTTTCCTCTTATTTCTTTTCTCTCTCTCATTTTAAAACCTTCCAAACACAAGGTGCACTATCCTATCTTTTCTTTTTATCTCACTATCCAACCAAATCTTCTATCTGTTAGGTATATTTTGTGTATATTGTTTCGAGTTAAAAGTCAACATAGGTGGGACCAGAGAACTGACATACAGAGTCCACGGTGAAGTGATCTGTGTGACTGTGAGACCCGGTGGGTGGGTCTAAATCAACGACGTCACATCCGGGACAAACGGCTGTGTTTCGGTCCTCTTGGCACATGGGTGATGTCACACCCCTGACGACGTCGTTACTTGCTTGCTTCAATCTGCTTCTAGGAATCATAATTTAATGAAACCTTTTGGTCTAATCATATAAACTTCTAGTGGTATTTTGTGGTAACAAGGACAATACATGGTGTGAGTGTGTGACACGAGGCATTATAGCCAAGGTTGTTAAAAATAATAATAATTTTTTTAAAAAAAAATTATGCAAATCAAATGCATGCTAAAATATCTAAAATTATAAATATTTTATAATTTTATTATAAAAATATTATTAAGTTGCATCTTTATTTGAATTAATGGAATTTATGTACAATAAATATAACTTGTGTAGAGATAAACGATCATTATGTATAAGAAAAAAAAATATACATAAAATTAAATGGATACTATCATTTCATGGGAAGAAAACTTGTTGTTTCGTCCAGTTTACGATACACTTTATAAAAAAATAAAAATCAATCTTTTTGTACGATGCATTTATGATTAACCGTATGTGACTATCGAAAGGTTTGTAATCATTTTTAAAAAATTTGATATCATTATATACTTTTATAAACTTATTGATTTACATTCATATTTATCCGAATATACCGGAATTGCTAGTCTGAACTATTGTTTAACCTGAGAAACTACCTAGCAAATGAAAAGTGAGAAATGAAAGAGAATTAATTATCCAACGGCATCCAGAAATGGTAACTTATTTTTGGCAACTTTGATTCTACAGTAAAAGTTGTAGTAGTAGTAGTAGTTATATCCATTAAATAAGATTTTTATATGCCTGATTAAACAATAAATAAATAGGGGGCAGAGACCAACTAATTAGTTCAACTGTTTGATGTCTGAAACTAAGCCAACAATATCTTGTCACATTAAATGATAGATCTCACCTATTTTGGCATATGCTACTACTATCTATACTAGTGTAATACTACGTACTACTATAGACTCTAGCTCGTGAAGTGTGACAGTAATAGTAATATTTTATCAGAAAATAAATGCTATGATGCTTAATACCTTATGGTACAAACCATGAGCTCTATCTCTCTGTGGTTACTTGTCATTTCTAAAAATTATTTCCTCCCTCATATAAAATTTATCTACTTTAAAAAATGCGACTTACAATTTGTGAGTTACAATTTTGAAAGTTTACAAATTTTATAAAATAGAGAAAGTATATAATTGTCTATAAAAAAATGACTATAATAACTTTATCTTAAGATGATATTTAAATTTCACTTTTTCAATTATTTTTTAAAAATACACTCATACTCCCGCATATAATTTTGTTATGCATTTTTTTTAAAAAAAAAATATGGAGTAATACTTTTTTAGTCGAGAAACTTGTTAACTTTGGAAGGTAAATAAAACATTATTGAAATACACTAATTTTAAAAAGTCTACAATACTTCAAGAGTACAATACTTTTACGAGTCTCTTAAACGTTGAATGATTAATAAAATGAGTCCCATCATCAGAACTAACGGTTGACAAGCTCATGGAATAACATGCCCTAGGTTAAGAAAATGATGTTTACATTTCAATTTTCTTCAATAAATAACATAATTATCTCTCTATAAGTCTACTTTTAAAGAATTATTTTGTCATTTCACTAATTAAACCTTTCAAATGAAGTATATAAGTTGGGGAAAAAAATGCGAATTTTATATTATAAAAAAAGAATAAATGCATTACGTGTGTGCAAAAATAAATTGTCCTAATTATATTAGCAGAGTTAAAATCACAAAATCTTTACTTTTAAAAAGCTATTAAGTTGTCCTAATTATATTCGTGATCGACTCTATAACTGAAATTTGAATATGTTATATAATGTTAAATTAAAATACTAAAAATTATTATTTTAAAATTAAAAAATAATAAAGAATCATTAAATAATGTTAAATTAGAAATTGTTTAAAATTGCAAAATTTTTATTTAATGTTAAATAACACATGTGACATTCCTATTTTAAAATTACAAAAATAATTTTAAAAAATGCACATATAAGTCATACGCCCACGTAGTGGAACGTGATTGGAGGTGATGGTGTGGCTTACCTCACAGCAAGGGTTTCTATCATTCCTCATAAAGCGAACTATACAGATGACGTGGCCATATCTCCATTCCATCATACTGTTACGATTCGTCTGGGGTGGTGAAGGTATTGCAGAGAGAGTACAGTACAGACCACAGAGAGACATCGTAAGCCTCTGGCTGCTACATTCCAAAAATGCCCTGATTTTGTCTCTTTATTTAATGGAAACTGCCATCTTACGTCAATCAACGTCTTTTCAGAGTTCAGTCCCAATTACCAGAAATACCCTCACTGTCAAAGAGTAATTTTACAGGTCACGATTTAACTGCTCCACCATTTTACCAAACTTATTTGGTTTGGTTGATGGTCAGCTCTGGCAAAGGCTCAAATTTTGTTACGGAGTATTACTTGGAAATCAGAATCAATGTTATATTAATATGATTGTATTAATGTGTTTTACAAATTCAGTTCAATTAAATTGAGATGCTACTTACTATTATTTTAAATTTCAACATAA